GAATAAATATGAAAATATAGATAAACATATAAAAGATTGGGCTACTCCTCTTAATAAGATTGATCATTTAAGATGAAACTTCAAGTTTTAATATGGTACCAGAGTTTATTAAACTCCATCGAATAATTTGATTTGATAAAGACTCAAGAACGAGCATGCGAATTTTAAAATAGTGCTCAAACAAGCCACTATCTTGTGGGGTATGTCAAGGGATAAATTCCACAGCGATTAAATATTGAAATAGAGATCAACATTAAAGACTTAATAAGGTTGACCTTCTAAAATGGAACCTCAAGTGTTAATCTATATTTCAGTATTTGACCGATGTGAAATTTATCCCTTAACAAATAATCATATGAATTATTATTTACCATCATTAGTTTTGTATTTTTTTTTTCTAATTCAACTGTTTTTCTATTATCCTGAAATTTAATGGGTTCAAGGTGTTTGATAATTTGCCTCAATTACAAACTCAATTATTCTCTGTGGATATTTTGTTCTGATTTTATCATAAATTTCATTTGGGATCTCCATTTACAATAGTAATCAGAAGATACACTAGTGACACAGATGTTCAAAACTTGTAAATTAGAGTGATTTAGTGAACACAAACTATCATAGAATGATACATTACATAAAATAGTAAAGGACTAAGGAGAAGCAACTTACCCAAGATATCTTGTTCAAGATTATTTAAGCTTCTTTTTCTGAAAATTTCCATATAGATTTTGTAAGGTGAAAAGATTCCCTTGGATTAGACTCGTTTTGTTTATCATCTTGGCTGAAATTGAAAGCAATATGTCTTGCTTGCTACATTTACAATTTAATTTAAATTTTTTCCATTTATGTATATGCTTCTTGTCTAGTTAATTACTTGTACGTTTGATTTTGTAAAATTTTAGCATGTCTCGTCATATTTTATGAAAGAGATTAACATGTTGGGTATGTTTAGAAAAATGGAACTAAAACACAAATGAATATTTGCCATGAGTTTCTTCTTTAATTTTAGGTGGAATTCCGATTGCCATTCCTCATAAGCATTTCGATGGTTCCAAACTACGTGAGTTAAAGCTTCACATTTCTATGTAATGGTCACCCTTGCTCATTTTGGCCATAGATGACATTCCCAATTTATACAATATCTACATCAACCAAGTTGATAAATTTGACGGCACTAGGAAATATTTTTGTCGGCCAGCTATATATTATGGGATCCACCAGCTAGCGAGTTGCAACTTTTGCCAAATTCCAAGTATCTCCAACTTTTATGGTTACTACAGGGCATTCAAGACAACATTCAAAGCCATACTAAGGGATGAATTTATTTTAGGACTTTTACACCATCCCACTTTAGAAATGGGATTGGAATGCCAGTGAAATTGTATAAGACAAATGCCACTAAGAAGCAATGAGATTGTTTTGGAAGCGACTCAGTTGGAGGAATATAGGGTTTCAAAAAGAAAGGCAACAAGAAAGGATTGAGATTTAGATTTAGATAGATGAATCCGAGCAATGCTATAGAGGCAAGATGGGCACCCCAGTAGATATTGGCATTGTCAACTTGGGAATGACTTCGTTCAATGATTGTGTGCATTGGTGCTTGCTTGGACCAATTAATTCTTGGAGTGAATTCTCGCTTCACTTGTTGAAGATGAAGGCCACCTGGAAAAAAAAAATATTTTCCTTGACCAAAAAGTATAATTTCATTTTATTCCCTCTCAATGTTTTTAGGTATATACTTTAGGTGAAGATTGATTACATTTATAGAGTTATATGTAGTAAGCTAAGAAATTGATTGAATTGCAAGAATGTACATAAAATGGTAATAATGTCTCTATGGATTAAAATAAAGGCACGATTATTGAAGATAGCTTTTAAATTCAAAGATAAATTTAGCTTGTGATGAAAACCGACATGGATATGGTAATGCTTTTGCTTATCGATCCGCTTTGAGTTCAACATGATAATGACTTCATTAAGTTCAGAAACATAATTCAACCCCGAAACTTGTTGGCAAGGTTCCTCTCAATCCTGCAAATTAAGCAACAAATGATGATGTTAGATACATATTGTTCTCACAATCATAAATCGTATAACAAAATATTTGCAAAAAAATAAAAATTGCAGAAAATAGAAGAACACAGATTTTTCTCCCCTTATGGTCCAGATGTTCAGCCAAATGCTTATTCACCACATTGAGCATCTATCAAGTAAATCTAGGTTTTGCTTGAATCCACTAAAATCATCAAGAACAGTATAGATCAAATGTATAAGATATCAGAGATTTCTTCATAGAATTTTCTCTCACCTCTCTAAAACAGTAAGGATCCATTTGATTGCAAAGATAGAATTTGGGTAGAAAGAAAATAAATTTCAGAGAATTGAATTGTCTAGAAATTGTCTTGCTGGAAATTGTCATTTATTGTGTTTGATTGTTATAAATTTCCACTTAGAAAATGTTTAAATAAAAGTATTTTTTTGTGTTCGTTTGACTTTGTTTTATACGAAATTATCAATTAAAAGGATAGAAATAGACTAAAATTTGGCAGGTTGATTGGAAACAAAAATCGTGCCAGGAAAGGCAACAGGGAAAGCCAAGAAAATGTCTAGGTGGCAAGAAAACCAATTATTTGGAAAAAATATGCTATCAAACAGCTAAAAAATGAAAGTTGGAATTTGAATTCCATTTCTCATGAAAAATAATGTACTATCAAACATGCCATAACACTAAAATAATATTTTTAAATCTCTAAAACAATAATACTACATATAGGGGCGGACCCAGACGACTTGGCCTAGGGGGGCAAAAATAAAATTTATAGGATATCTTCTAATAAAAAAAACTAAGGAAAAAAAAAAAAAAAGCTAAGCAAAAAATTTTTTTCCCCAAAATCTAGGGGGTCAATTGCCCCTATAAACCCCCCCTAGGTCCGCCCCTCTCTACATAGGAACGTGAATATCTTCCTCTCTGAAGACTGCAAACCACGCGTAAGTATTCGTTGAGAATGTGGCGTATTTTCTTAAGCATCATTCGGAAATATTTTTGCAGATGTTATTTTTACTACACTATTCAATCTATTATTCATTTTAGATTATTGATAATGGACTATTGCAACATAACAGTCACTCCGAGAACTGAAATCTAGTCTGTATAGAATCCAGAACACTCAAAAGCAAGAAAAGGAAAAAGAAAAAAATTAAGTAGGAAAGGAAATAGGAGATATATCCCCGAAATTTGCCTCAAATGCCAACATATGTAACAATTAGAGACACGAATAGAGCTTGTCAGTACCAAATTTTGAAAATCATCAAGAAGTTCCGTATCAAACTCAGAGTGAAACTATCCCATTTATGACCTTTTTTTTCCTCTGATTGTTCCGATATTCTATAATGCACAAGTAACAATAAATTGCTGATTGCTCAATGCAAACACTAATCTGTATGACAGCTAACTCTACATTGAACATTCTATATTTCAGCGGTTAGATTTTGGGGCAACAATTTTACATCAGGAAACTCAGCGGTCATCTGCAAATGTAAAGCGTCAAGAGGAGGTTCAAATGATTAAATGATTTATACAACAAAAATATACAGAAAACTGAAATCGAAAAACAAGAACTGAAAGATGAATTTCAGTTATCGTTTGACCTAAGGCAAATGAGACCCAAGAATACAAGTGCTTTCGTCAAGGAAGAACTACCGGTAGGATGAACCAGAACCAAGGCTTAAAATTTTGGATTTTGCACTCAGATCGTGACCACACTAGATCACAAAAAAAGAACACAGCTTTCTCTCAAATATTTAAATATTCACACAATAACACATAACTCAACTCAAGCGAAATCTCTCAAGATTACAACAGATTTGAGAGAGTAACTCAAAATTAAAAGAGAGTTTTGATTTTCAGAGAGAAGGAGACGAAAAACACAAAACGGCCAGAGAAAAGAAGAGTCTCGAAGAAGAAAATAACGCGTCTCAAACCCTAGGATACCTTTTATAAGAGTCACCAAAAGGTCAGCCATCCAACGGTAGTGGGGTTGGCACATGGCATTATCTCGAGCGTCCATCCATAAGGTAAAAAGACGGTTTTATGATAAACATATTTTTGCAACAAACCAACAACTTTAACAAATCAGTCAACAATGGTTTTGCATCATTTTGCCATCCTTGCATAAAGTCAATTAGTGTTGTAGGAACTTTTGGATACCTGGCACTGGAGTACATGACATATGGAAAAGTTGACGGAAAGATTAATTACTGGGAAAGAGCTATTCAATCAAACTCGCCATCTAATTGTGAAAGCTTAGTACTTTCGGTAATGGTTTATGGTAAATTTCTTCTTTCACTTCAATTCCAAAGAAATTTGCAGGCAAGGTCTCTTCTCACCTATGGCTTATGTGAGCGACTAATTGATCCTGACCTCAACGAAGACTATGACAAGGACAAGATGAAAACAATGATGATTGCAGCTCGCTCATGTCTCTTGCATTCATCTTATAGAAGGCCAACAATGAAAACAACAATCTTTTTGATCTTTCACTACCAAAATAGGTTTTTTGGGATTCTAGGAACATCGCGAATTTCATATCTCATTCATCAATTGCCAACCATTGTAGGGGTTATGTTACAACCCACATTATTTAATCAAAAGTCAAGAGTTGAATTTTCAAAGTCAAAGTCATATAGGGACTTAAATGAAATAAATGACTTTATTGGGACTTGAATTGACTAAAATATATTATTGGGGTTTATTTTGCAATTGACAATATATGAGGGTTATATTGGATACAATTGGAAGTTGAAAATTTACTTATACATTTTTGGGATGTTTAGGATTTAAATGTAGCTCATATTAGAGAAGAGGGACTTTTCTTGCAAATTGGAGTTAGTGGGTTTTTAATGCCTTTGACCATCACTTTTTCTCTCACAAATCGCACACACACACACTAGAAGAAAGAAAGAACCGGCAGAGAAGAAGAAAAAGGGAAAGAAAAAGAAGAAGAAAAAGAAAAAGGAAAAAGGAAAAAAGGAAGAAGAGAAAGAAAGGAAAGAGGTAGTTCAAGGTTCATTTCTATTTTTCCTCTCTTTTTATTTTCTTCAAGAGGTAGATATATTTTATATTAAATTCTAGGGTTTTATTTTGACTCGGAAATTTTCAGATTTTTTAGAGGAATACTACTTGGAGCTCAAGTTATTGATTCTTGAATTTCTATCTACACTAAGGTAAGGAGATATTAATTTTTTTGGGCAAACCCTAGTTTTTAAATTTGATGATTGAGCATGGATTATTTGTGGAAATGATTACATTAATGGAATTATTTACTTGGAAGAATGATTTTGGGGAATGATAGATATATTAATTTGGTTGTATTATGATTTCTTGTTTTTCACTAAAATGAAAGGGACAAATATTCTTGTGATTGTAATGAAGTTAAATTTGGATGTGGTATATGATTGTGAAGGTATTATAAAGTGAAAATTAGCTTCGATTGATTAAAGGAAATTTAGGAAAATTTCGCAAGTCTAGGGGAATTTAGTTTAATTATTATATCATTAGAGATTAAATGTTTCTTTATTTTAATAGTGATTAAATTAGTTATTTGTAACGTATTACAGGTGGTGACGAAGAATTGGAAAAACTTACCGACCGGCCTAGTCTGTAGCTCGTATTGAGTGAGTGGATAAAACTTATTTTTTAGAAATAAGTCTTCTTTAAATTTTAAAGTTATTTATTTTATAAAGTTGACTTCATAGCATGATTTTTAGAATAAAATGAATTTTATTATCAATTGCTTTTAAAGTTAAATTCAGTTCAGTTAAATTATTTTAGTAGCATGTTATATTCTTATTACATGTTTCAGCATATTTAAAATTATTTTCTAAAAACCACCAGAAAGTTCCCAGGTGATTTTACCCTCGTCTGCACTGGTGTGAATATGTTTCCATAGTGTATGACTTCATATGATTATTTTACCCACTCCGCGCTGGTATGAATGTGTTTCCACAGCGTATGATCAGTATAGTGATTTTACCCGCTCTGCACTATCGTGAATGTGTTTCCATAGTGTATGACCAGATTATCAGAGGTTTTTGGGACCCACTCTCGTACACACATAGGCTTTGGGCCATGTACTAGGGTGATTAGCCTTTGGGGCAGCTTTGCGTATGTATGACCAGATTATCAGCTATCAGATTATCAGATTTGAATGACTTTGTCTTATACATCGAGATTACTCTGTATATGAGTAAGGCTATTCATTGGGTACTCTTTATAGTGTGATTTTTCAGTATTTATTTAGTTCTCAGATTTCAGATTATGGAATTCAGTTAATACAGTTTTTAGAATAAAGCTTTCAGCTTATAGTATTGACCAGTAGCAATATTTCATAGATTTTCATGAATATCAGATTATTCGTTAACTTTACATCTACTTATCTAGAATTAAGAATAAAGAATTGTATGATGCAATCATGTTTTGGTTTTAAAAGTGTTACCAGATTTCAGAATTTTTCAAAGATTTAATAAAACTAGAATTTTCAGAAAATTTGTAGAAATGGAAAAAGTATATTTATTCACAAATTATCCACTCACTGTGTTATAGGCTCACATTTTTTTTACAATTTCTCTTATCAGATAGTAGCTGAGTTGAGCACTACTGGGCCAGTTGATCTATCGAGTTGAACTATAAATTGTCAAGCATTGTATGACTCATCTTATCAGTTTAATAGTTTATACTTTGGAAAAGACACCTCTTTTGGTCAGAAATTAGTTCCATGTTTTGGGCCTGCTATGTTTTGTATATATTATACATTTTGGGTACTATGGTTTATAAATTGTTGCAAAGCTCAAATTGCCAGTGTTGTATTTGAATAATTGATTTTCTATGAGCCAGTGTACCCTATTTTAAACTATATGTATCTGTTTGGGATATTGAATTATATATTTCAGGTGGTTTTAGTCTATAATTCAGGGGGAACTCTGCCAAAATTTTTACAAAGCATATCATAGTCAATACAAGTCAATGTTGCCTTAATGGTGGGTCCGGCACTTAACTGGCATCTACCATCGGCGCACAACACGTGTCGGGTCTATTAGGATGATTCGGGGCGGGTCGTGTCAGGTTAGGTCCAAAATGTATTGGCAAAGTACCGCGTCCAAAATGCAGTTTATCGAGTTGTAATAGGGTTAAGTTGTGTGGGGTTGAGAATGTCTTTGGAAGGAATCAAAGTCAACTCAAGAAGATCAAGACGAGGTAAAAACCATCCTTTGGCCACCAAGCATACCGCTTGAGCAGTTTTCGCTGTGGTCAACCTCCTATTGGGTGCCTACAGTCTTCTTTAGTGAACATGTGACTGGTTGAAACCCTAGATCCCGATTTTGAGACCTTTTACCATCCCAAACAACCTCAAACTCTCTATATATATTATAAATACTTAAGGCGCAATTCATCTCAAAACATGAGTTGAGCCATTATTAATCAAAGAGAACACATTGTTGAAGATCAAACATTGATTCTATAATTCTCTTGCCTCAACCACAAGATCAAACTCTAAAATATTACAAGATCAAAACACCACTAAATTCTTTTCCAAAGATCCCCTAGAGTTCTGAAAGTCCTAAGAGGTGACCGGAGTTCTGGTTCATGAAGAAAGAGTTCGTTTTTGGTGATCTACGAGGAGAAAAAAAGATCCAAAGTTTTTGGGATTGGTGATGGGGTGCATGCATAACCAAAGAGTTCTTCGGTGATTAAAGTTGGAGGTCAATGTCTGCTAAGATTTAGTTGTGTGTGTACAGATCCTGTAAATTTAGAACCTTTTTAGCGGATTATTTACTGGTAAGTTTGTCCGGAAATTTTTTTCTTGAAGATTTCTTCATTCATTGGCGTGCTTTATTTTTCTGCATTGATATTATTGCGTGATTGATATGTAGGATTTAAATTGTTTTCAATTCATGTAGATACCATAATTTGTGATTTGTTGAATATTATTGTTTGTTAATTTTTAATTTCCCATATTACACTTATTCATCCCGTCTAGGTGTTTGTTTGGTCGAACATTATTTCAGTAGGGAAAGCTCGAGGTAGGAAAAATTATTTGATTACTAGCATGTGAATGAATTGAAGAAATTTCACTGTTGAAAAATGCATTTTGATTCCTTTGATGCAATTTAAACCCTAAGAGATCTTCATTTGAAAGTATTGTTAATAAATTTGTTCTAGATATCATAGCTGCCAATCTATTGTAGGCAAGGTGATATGATCCAGGAGTCGAGCCCGACAAAGGCAAGTGCGAGACGAGAGAGACGAGACCCGTTGATAGTCGATGGCGGACAAATGACGCGATTAAGGGCAAAGCAAGTGAAACAAGCGATGGGATTGCTCGTTCAAGAAACCATTGATGGAACCATATTCGGGACTCAAAATGGAGCAACTTTCATGTTTGGGTCGAAGGCCGAATCAACTTGGATCAATTTGTTATCAAGCGACGAAAGCGGAGGCTGAAGATAACACCATGCGGCCGCACAGGCAAAACCACATGCGGCCGCACAAATGCATACCAAAAATCAAAAGTACAATTTCAGTCGAACCATGTGACCGCATGGATTTATACCATGCGGCCGCACAGGCCAAAAATTTGGCGAATTTTCAAATTTTGACAATTTTCTATATTTTGTTAGATTTTGACTCTTTTCCATAATTTGGAGATTATACTCGAATTTTGCACGATTTTTATCTAGTTTTTAGATTTAGTATAAATAGGAGTTTCCATTCAATTGTTAAAAACTTTTGATATTATTGATATTGAATTAAAGTGAGGCGTATTGTCTTCTCTTCATCGTTTTTCATTGAACAATTTCAAACTTATCAGGTGATAACTTGTGGCATTCAAACAACCGGATTTAATTCTTGGATTGCGTGATCAAGGGGTCTTTCAAGCGTCGTTCTTGTTAAGTTTTTTGGTTCGACTTTCTTTTGGGTTAATCCTAAACTCTTGAATTAATTTAACTTTCTTGAGTTCGTCAATCTCGTTGTGGGTTTCGTAGTCAACGTTGCTACGGGGTTCGCATCAATTGGTATCAGAGTTTTGGCTCCAAATTAATTGAAGGTTATATCTTTTCTTTATTTGTTTGGGTCGTTAATTTTTCTTTCTTAATTTTTCTTCATTCTTGTTTTCTTTTCATCGTTTTGTTGAGTTGTTGGTAGTTTACTCATCTTCTTTCATCAAGGAGTAAAAAAAAAAAAAAGAGTACAAAAATGAAAAAAAAGGGTTACTGTACATTCGAGGTACTGTTTATCTCCAAGTATTGTTCACAAAAAATAAAAAAATATATATATAAAAAAAATTTTGATATCACTGTTTGATTTTGTGTTTTTTTTTCTACCAACAACAATACCTACATTGTGTTTGATTTTTGGGATATTCAATTGGGTTCGAGTCTGTCATTCTTCTTTTGAGTCTATTCACATATTCGTGTCAAAATATTCATCTATTCCACTTATTCAAATCCTTTGAGTCTCGTGATCTTTGATTAATATTCGATTTGTTTGAATTGCCGGTAAAACAATTGATTTAGTTCACTTGGTTCTTTGAAGTGCTTGGAGGGAGACTTTGAGTGGTAAAATGCCGAATGGTGAGTTTAATAGAGGGAAAAAGCCATAGAGAGTGTTTTCCGAGTGAAATCTTTGTGAGGTATAAAAAAATTGTGTGATATGATGTCGGAAAGAGAAGGTTCTAATTCAAGCCGAAATGGTAATGACAACAATGCATCGGAGGATATGATAAGGAGGTTTGAAAGGGTACTTGGTAATATTAGGGAGAAGGTGGATAGGCAAGGGGAATGGATGGCACAAATGGGTACTACAATTGCTAATATTAGCCGGGGAAAAGTGGAGATGTCTAATGCTTGGGGGCCGGGTAGGCGTGAATCTAGGAGAGGAAGGCGAGATGAGTATCGTAGTGATGAGGATGATTTTGATAAAAATGACATTGATATGGGTCGAGCGAGGCATAGAGGCGATAGGATGGAAAGACAGGGTAGGAATAACTTAGGAGATGAAGTAGATGGAAATTTGGGGAGTATTAAAATGACTATTCCGCAATTTAAGGGGAGAAGCGATCCAGAAGCATATTTAGATTGGGAAAGGAAGGTTGAGATGATTTTTGAGTGCTATAATTATTCGGAGGAGAAAAAGGTAAAATTGGCGGTGCTTGAATTCATGGATTACGCGATATCTTGGTGGGGTCAAGTACTTATATCACGGCGTAGGGGTCGGGAAAGGCCAATTAGCACTTGGGATGAGTTGAAGATGTTGATGAAAAGGAGGTTTGTTCCGAGTCACTATTATAGGAAAATCCATCAAAAATTGCAAGGTTTGTATCAATGATCGAAAAGCGTAGAGGATTATCACAAGGAGATGAAAATTCTTATGATTCGGGCTAATGTGGAGGAAGATCGGGAAGCTACCATGACACGGTTCTTGAATGGGTTAAATTGGGATATTGCAAACGTTGTAGAGTTGCAACATTATGTGAAAATCGAGGACATGTTACATGTGGCAATGAAGGTCGAGAGACAATTGAAGAGGAAGGGGACATCTAGGCAACCGTTAGGTACTTCGGCTCTTAATCCAACATGGAAATCGAAGTGGGATGACAACAACAAAAACGGGACAGCACCTAGAGGTAAAAATGATTGGCAAAAGGGCAAGGATGAAAATGCTAGCAAACCAATATCAAAATCGGAGGCACAACCGTCGCGCAATCGGGACATCAAATGTTTTAGGTGTTTGGGAACGGGGCATACTGCTTCTCAATGCCCAAACAAACAACGGGCGATGGTGTTGCGGGATAATGGAGAGACTGTGAGCGATAGTGATGGCGAGTTTGATGACATGTCGGCGTTGGAGGGTGTTAGTGAAGAAGAAAAAGTTGAAGTGCCGGTTGAGGATCTATTAGTCACAAGGCGAGCTCTCACTACTCACGTCAAAGCGGATGACTTGGAGTTGCAACGGGAGAACATTTTCCATACTCGATGACACATCAACAATATGGTATGTAGTGTTTTAATTGATGGTGGTAGTTGCACTAATATAGCTAGCGTATCTCTTGTAGAAAAATTGGGTTTAACATTGTTGAGACACCTGAGACCTTATAACCTGTAATGGTTGAATGAGAGTGCCGAGGTGAGGGTGAATCGAAAGGTGTTACTTAATTTGTCAATTGGGAGTTATGAGGAAGAGTTAGTGTGCGATGTGGTGCCAATGCAAGCGGGACATATTTTATTGGGATGACCATGACAATACGATAGGAAGGCTATGCATGATGGGTACAAAAATCGATATAGTTTCATTAAGGATGGAAGGATCATTACTCTTGTGTCATTAACACCGGCGCAAGTCTATGAAGACCAATTAAAATTGAGAAGTGAGGAAGAGAGGAGAGCAAAAGAGTTAGAAAAAATGAGAGCAAATAGTGAGTTGGAGAAAAAGAGAGAAAATGTTGAGATAGCCATTAGAGAGAAAAAGAGAGAACAATCACAAGAGAGAAAGGAAAGAGAGTGCCCCGAGAGAAGAGAGAAAACACGAGTGAATTTCTTTGCAAAGGAGAGTGATTTGAGGAGGGCGGTAGTTGAGAGAAGAGAGATGATCTTGTTCGTTTATAAGGAATTACTCCTCAATTTTGAGGAAACTAACCCACCCCTCCTTAGTTTGGCTAAGTCTTTGTTGCAGGAATTCGACGATGTATTTCCGAAGGATGCACCAAGTGGATTGCCGCATATTCGAGGCATTGAACATCAAATTGACTTCATACCCGAAACTGTCATTCCAAATCGACCGGCTTACCGAAGTAATCCTGAGGAGACTAAGGAGTTTCAAATGCAAGTGGAGGAGTTAATGAGTAAAGGATACGTG